TGAAATTGACTAGTTTTTGACTTTGTAATTGTGGAAATTAATCATCAGATTAAACTGTTGCATGACTGCAGTGCAACCAGTACTCTGGGCAGTGATAAAACATCCAAATTCCAGCTTCTCTTATAGAATTATTATTTTTAAAGAATAATCAAACACATTGTGTTATTTGGTGTCATCACTACTAAGCAGTACTGGCAGTATAACAAACACACATTCTTTATACATTTAAACACAAATTAGATCAGATTTCTTTATATGACACCAAATCATAACATCTCATGAAACATCACACAGTAAAACCTTAGAGTATTGTAGATTTGTGCACTGCTAAACTACTTTTTATAGTGATTAAAATAAGCATCAGTTTTGGATCTATGGGCACATGCGCAACACAGTGGAAGCCTTTTTTCACTTACAACAACCTATAAATGCTTTGAATACTGGACAGTAAATTGACAATAAGCTTCAGCACGAATATCAAAGAGATCTTCAGAGTCAAGATAACATTTAATCAGCTCAACTATGCTTTTATAATTATGTTCTTGCTTTTTTATTCAATGTCAATATTAGATAAACAACAAAATGCACATGTAGAGATAAATTTGGAGACAGTGACATTATTCTTTTTTGTTTAAGATTGTATTATTGTGCATTTGGTAATTTACAGAAATATTTACAAATACTGAAATGCACGTCTAACATAAACTTTGAGATGGTTGAATGATGTTGATAATTATTGTGTTACTGATGTCTTTGGAGTCTGTTTCACATCCACATCCTATCAGCATTACTGATGAACAAAGCTCTAAAGTTATTAAATATTTAATACTTTAATCTCGTTGACTTTTTGTGTCATTTTTAAAATAAAAAAAACAAAAACAAAAAACAAAGGTTTCAGTGAGCTATCCTTATAATTACAGATCATACATCTCTTTCAATAATCTTTGGCTCCAAAGGCTAATAACTACTTTGTGTTGAGCATTTAGGATTATTAAAGTAAGCATGATAGTCAGTGGTGAATATATTCTCCAAGCCTACTATTGATACTGATAGTAAAGCAGACAGTCTCATTATTGACAAAATTAATTGTGTTACAGTATCTGTGAAAAATGCGCAGAAAAGTGCACATTGTTTTTTGCATTTGCAGCCTGATATTCCAGGATCATACATTACGTGATAAAAAACCTAGCTGGATCTTTTATGTTGGAAACAGTTACACAGACTTTGAAGGCTACTACTTTTGTGTGCATTTTCTGTTTCACACAGTTTAGTTTTAGTTATATCAGCTTTTTGTTAGATTTAAGCACTAAAACCTTAAGATTAAATCTGTCCTATTAATAACCCTTTACCTTAAAAAACAATGGAGGTGTGCCTAAGCAGCTATGTATCTACAGCTTTTTAATAATACTTACTTTTAAACTGTTACCAAATTCTACACTTGAATAAAGAGAAACTGCTTTAATCTGAAAACAGTCATCATCCCAGTCTGTGCTCCTGATAACACTGTCCTGTTGTGTACAGAGAAGTGAAGCAACATAAGAGGTCAGGTAAAACTCAACACGCCAGCTCATCATGTATTTAAAGGGTTCGTTGTATTGGCAATTACAGACCATGTTTGTGTTTCAATCCGATCCTATTATGAAAAAATGGATACAGGAGGCCAACTCAAGGGGTTCAGCACAGCAGGATGTCATGATTCGGCTGTGTGGCAGGCAGGAGAGGACCCAAACGCAAACTCACGGAGACAAAACGTAAACTCAAAAACACAGCTTTAATGCTGGCAAAAAGTGGAACACGAAAACAGTACTAAACTAAACTGGGAACGCTAAACATAAAGTATACCAGGAACCACAGGGCGAATCACACACAGCATGAAGGAGACTACGACACTGACAAAGAGAAACACAGGGCTTAAATACACAGAGGGATAACGAGGGAATGAGACACAGAAGGAGGGCACAGCTGGGAGAAATCAGGACTGACGAGACAAGCAAAGCAGGGCACATTCACATAAGACATGGAACTTCAAAGTAAAACAGGAAGGATCACACAGAGACGCGAACTTGACACAGTGGGGACAGCAACTAAGAAACACAGAGACATAAACCATAAGGCAGAGGACTCTAAGAACTGAAAGACACAGAGGGAAACTCAAACATGCAGACACAGACTTACACAGAACAGAGGGGACACAGAGAAACATGAAGGGCAAGGGATCGAAACTAGAAACCATAAAATAACTCACACAAGTACAATATTACAAACATCACAAGGAACTAAAAACGCTGGGTCAGGGGACCCAGGACCATGACACAGGATAGATGCAACAGAGCAAGGGAGAAACTGCGAAATGGAGATCAATGATATCTGGGACCTGGAAAGCATGGCAGGGAGATCATGAAGTTGTTTTGGTTTTTTTTGGTACCAGTGTTGGTTATGGAAAAGGAAAAGTAACAGGTGAGTACATGTGAGAGAGTATACCCCTATAATACTGCTGTAATGATTTCTAAAGCAGTAAGACTGTTATGGACATGAATGCAACATACCGTTGGACCGCTAATTATAGGGAAGGGTCAAAAAGGGTCAAAGACTTTTAAAACTCACTGAGAAACACAACAATCATTAATGTCTGTAAATGTGTTTTGAGCAAGTAATATGTTATTTAAAGCTTAATTATAAATTATAATGACTGTCATGTCTGTGTTAAATTGGAATCAAATTTTTCATTAACTTCTTTTTTTTTTTTGTTAATTTTATTCAAATGTAAATATTAAAGTCCATTAATTAGTTGGACAATAAAATGACATGACTTGGTTTGGAATTTTAGTGTCACTAAATTGATAAACAACTCTCTCTTCTCTCTCTGCAGTTCTATTATAGCTACATCCTGCCTATTGTGATCAATGGAAACCAATGACAACTGTGTTCAGTAGTTAAGATTAAAAAACTGTGAAGCAGTCGCATCCTGGATGGTCTGTATTTACCACAGGAAACATGGTCAGTGAAGGCTGGGCCTGTTTGTATCTTGGTAAAGTATAGGACGTTGTCTGAAAGTTGCCAGCTGAGTCAAAAGAGGCTGAATAGTAAAGAAGCACAGAAGCTATGTTTGGATTGTAGGTGATGCTATAGGAGACTCTTAAGGTGTATAATTATTTAAAACCTGCATCAGGTGTGGCATTAGGTACAGTTACTGAATACATTTCGAAACCTGGTGTTTTATACATAAACACAAAGCTGAGAACAAAAGCAAAGTTGAAAACCAACTCAAAGACACTTTAAAGTGATCACCTCAGTGATTCGTCTGTAAAAACATGAACAGGGTTAGCTGGTGAATCAGTGCTTCAAACACACGTCCGCATCACTGCAGCCGCTGCACTAATCCGTCTGTTGATCTCCGGCTCCCTTCCCCCATCACTCGCGAACAAGACCCCGAGACCATGGAAAAAGACTTTCGGACTGCCTCGAAGAGATTCTGGCAAACCGTCAGGCGTCTCAGGAGTGGAAAGCGGTGCTCTACCTGCACTGTGTATAGTGCTGGCGGAGCGCTGCTGACTTCAACTGAGAAAATTGTCAGGCGGTGGAAGGAATACTTCGAGGACCTCCTTAATGCCACTGACACGTCTTCCGAGGAGGAAGCAGAGTCTGGGGATGAGGGGAATGACCCGCCAATTTCCGGAGGCGAGGTCACTGAGGCAGTTAAACAACTCCTTGGTGGCAGAGCCCCTGGTGTTGATGAGGTCCGCCCCGAGTTCCTGAAGGCTCTGGACATTGTAGGGCTGTCCTGGTTGACATACCTCTACAATGTTGCGTGGAGATCAGGGGCAGTACCCCTGGACTGGCAGACCGGGGTGGTGGTCCCCATCTTTAAGAAGGGGGACCGGAGGGTGTGTTCCAACTACAAGGGGATCATACTCCTCAGCCTCCCTGGGAAAGTCTATGCCAGGGTGCTGGAAAGGAGAGTTCGTCCGCTAGTCGAACCTCGGATACAGGAGGAACAACGCGGTTTTCGTCCTGGTCGCGGAACACTGGACCAGCTCTTTATCCTCTCAAGGATACTTGAGGGTGCATGGGAGTTTGCCCAACCAGTCTGTGTCCAGTGTGTTTTGTGGACTTGGAGAAGGCATTCGACCGTGTCCCTCGGGGTGTCCTGTGGGAGGTGCTGCGGGAGTATGGGGTGTCTGGCCCGTTGCTACGGGCCATTCGATCCCTATACAACCGTTGCAAGAGCTTGGTTCACGTTGCCGGCAATAAGTCGGACTCGTTCCCGGTGGGTGATGGGCTCTGCCAGGGCTGCCCTTTGTCACCGATTCTGTTCATAATTTTTATCGACAGGATTTCTAGGCGCAGCCAAGTGGCAGAGGGTTTTCACTTCGGTGGCCTCAGAATCTCATCTCTGCTTTTCGCAGATGATGTGGTTCTGTTGGCTTCATCGGGTGAGGGCCTCCAGCTCGCAGTGGAACAGTTCGCAGCCGAGTGTGAAGCAGCGGGAATGAGGATCAGCACCTCTAAATCTGAGGCCATGGTTCTCAGCCGGAAAAGGGTGGAGTGCCCACTCCAGGTCAGGGATGAGTTCCTGCCCCAAGTGGAGGAGTTCAGTGTTTAAACCTTGAGTGATGCCCTATCAATTAGTGAATATTGTGTACAATACTGTGCATGGATAGTTAATGTCCAACATGCTATCTGACAAGACCTGTTTGGAATACATAAATGATGTGGATGAGTGAGTGACTACTTTCGGTAATATACACAATGTTGCAGAAAATAAACATTATCTCAAACATTTTTAGGCAGAAAAAAATTATACTTAAAAAAATTGAAAATGGTCAGACCTGAATACCATGAAAGGGTTCATTTCACTGCTCACACATGTATTCAATTTATATTCGACCACTAGATGTTGCTTTTGAAGACCCTTTTTTTTTTTGACAGTTTTTTTTCTTTTCTTGATAGCAAAATGGGGATCAAATATGATGTCACTTCCTTTCATCCGCTCAGCGTGTGAAAAGTGAAGTACCAGCTGACAGCAGCGTGTAGCACACACACTTCTGTTATTGAAGGAAAAGTGACTGACTGGATCATAAGGGGCTGTACAGTGAGCAGACATGGAAGCTGTCATTGGACTGTTGTTTATGTTACTCGGTGTCTCTTATGGTGAGCTACTAAACTTTTTGTTCTTCTTCATTAATGCTTAATTTTATAATAAAAAAAGAGGTTTTGCTGCCACATGATCTAGCACCATCAATAAAATTAAGCTGAATTCACCAAAAGATTTGTTGAACTGCAGTTTATGAGTTTTATTTTAACACTTTAAATGATTTTTACTTCCTTGACTTATATTTCCTTAAAGATTAACGACACATTCTGAGATCATTTTAATGTGAAAATGCGTAAATATAGCTATGACATATAAACTCATTAAATAACATGTAACCTTATTTTCAGAGTCCTTCGGGGTTTACATTTTGACTAAATTAAATTCAGACACTGATTTTATCATCTGGGTTTGATTTTGACTTTGTTCATTTGTTCACTTTTTTTTGCAGGTGTGATCACTCATTGTGATGGCAGACAGGATGGAGCTCAGTGTTATGTAACTTTGGGAGGAACTGTGGACATCCAGTTGATCAATAGCACCTCTGAAATACCTAGATACCAGTTGTTAAAGGATTCATTAAAAATACTAGCAGGGAGAAATAATACAGTTATGTCTAATGCCATAGAGCATAGGTCTCTCATTTTTCCTAGTAATGGAACATTTAGGATCAATGACCTGAGTAGGAATGACATTGGTAAATATACCCTTTTAACCTTTGATTCAGATGGAAGAAAATCAGGCGAGCGGACTCTATATTTGTTTACTCAAGGTAATCTTTTTTTGGTTAATAAAGCTGCTACTTTATATAAATATACGATTTTTTGGTAATCTTTATATCTATATATATATATATATATATATATATATATATATATATATATATAGCATTTTCTGCTTTCTCTGTTCTTTTTTAGAGACTATCAAAATGAATTTGAACAAAACAATAGCAAATACATTTTTATCTTACTTTATATTTAATTTTTTTTTAACTATTTAACTAATATGGAGCTGAAAAATACAGCTATGAGAGGTGAACTTGTTAAATAATAAGTAAAAGAATAAATTGTTTACTTTTTTGTTTTCCTTTACAGGTGTGGAAACTTACTGTGATGGCAGACAGGATGGAGCTCAGTGTTATGGAGCTTTGGGAGGAACTGTGGACATCCAGCTGATGGACAGCACCTCAGAAATACCTAGATACCAGTTGTTAAAGGATTCATTAAAAATACTAGATGTGAGAGGGGATAAGGTTATTTCTAATACCATTGCACATAGATATCTCATTTTTCCCAGCAATGGGACATTTAGGATCAATGGCCTGAGCAGGACTGACATTGGTAAATATACCCTTGAAACCTTTGATTCAGATGGCAGGACATCAGATGTTTGGACTCTACATTTGTTTATTCAAGGTAACATTTTCCCTGTTGGGAAGTGATGCTGCTACTTTACATACATTTGATAAGATTTGCAGCATTTTTGCACAACTATCCCCTGTTTCAGGAGTACTCAAACCTTTTCTTTGTGGGTTAAAATTTCCTCCATTTCCACTTCCTGCATTCATTTTCAATGAATAACTGCCACATGAGAACAGCTTCCGAAAGTCAGTTTTTTAGACCCTAAGAACAGCAAAAAAATTGAGGTTTTGCATAACAGTTAGATACATATTCTGTTTTTGATTGCCAGCAGGCCTGAGTAAACAACAAACTACTACTAAAACAAAATGACAGTAGCCACAAAACCACTATTTCTGCTGATGGAATTCAGTCATTAATTTGTGCCCACCTGTGGGAACCATATGAAAATAATCATAAATAATCATGAAGCTTACAAATTTCTGTTCATTGTAAACATTTGCATATGCTACTGCAGTCTTTCTGGTAGTAACTTAACACTCAAAAGTTTGACAGTTTTGCTTTTTGTCTAATTTTTTATTTGCAGGTGTGGAAACTTACTGTGATGGCAGACAGGATGGAGCTCAGTGTTATGGAGCTTTGGGAGGAACCGTGGACATCCAGCTAGTGAACAGCACATCTGAAATACCTAGATACTACTTGTTAAAGGATTCATTAAAGATACTAGATGTGAGAGGGAATAAGGCTATTTATAATACCATAGCACACAAATCTCTAATCTTACCCAGTAATGGAACATTTAGAATCAGTGATCTAAGCAGGACAGACAGTGGTAATTATAGCCTTATAACCTTTGATTCAGATGGCAGATCATCAGGCCAGCAGACTTTACAGTTGCTTATTCAAGGTAATTCCTTTTCTTCTCAATAAAGCTATTAATAGATATAAATTTAACAATGTTTTGCTGATCTATACAATAAATATAAAAAATGTTCAGATGCATGTATTTTATGCTTTCCCTGTTCTTCATTTGAGACTGTAAAGAATTTTCACAATTCTAGTTTTTAAATCTAAACTCATCTGTGTGTGTTTCTCTCAGCTCCTGTGTCCTCTGTCCTGCTGGTCTCTCAGTGTCTGTCCCAGGGACAGATGAGGGTGTCCTGTTCCTCTGAGGGAGGGGATAGTCCTCAGTACAGCTGGACTCTGGATGGACGCACACTGACAGATACTGAGCTCCTTCCTGGAAACAATGAGACTAACATCATCACTTTGAAACATCACATCTCGGGACATCTGGTCTGCTCAGTCAAGAACAATGTTAATAGTGTCTCCAAAGAACAGGAGATATCTACCTGTGTTGAGTGAGAACATTGTAAGCAGTATCTAATAATGAATCAGCAATTCAGTCACTGTAGTTTCACAGCAATCCAGGTCATGGTAGTCTTGAGAGCTAGAGATACTTGTACTTCACTCTGCCACACAAGGTGCCTGTATTAACAATAAGTAAAAGGACTGTTCTGCTCCAAAACTGTTGCTAATTTTGACCTCACGTGTGAGACGACTTGTAGACATTGTGAGATATTGCTTGTGCCTTGTGCAGAGTGTCCTACCTCAGCAGAAGGTGATATTATCATTATTCATGCCAGTATTTATAACTTTACTAATTATAGAATTATCTGTTTGTGTCTCAGAAAATCACACACAAATTATCACATACATTCACTTCTATCTGCAAAAAATTCAAATTAAGGCTGGCAAGAAACAGAGACATGATGCTGTTCATTTTGTCTGTATGAATTTATTAAAGACAGTTAATTGAACTCCTGGATTACTTCAGTCTTTCTGACAGTAGATTTAGGCCAGACTTGTATACCACCAGCATTTCAACATATCTTTCACATGTAGCATTTCTCACACCTGGGACTTTATATGAGTCAATTAGCCACATAAAACATTTGGAAGCACTGCTGCTTCTTTAAAGATCAAAATACCTCTTAACTAAAATTTCTGAGCACATTCCTACTAGACCTCACATCATTGGAAGGAAATCTTTGGGCAATACCTACTTTTGAGTGTACTCAAACATTTTGGTTTCAGTTTGAATCAACACACTATTTTGATTCCTCCATCAGAAGATTGTGGCTGTGGATAATACATGGATGCTCAACACCCTCTGCACCACATGCAGCTAAACGCTTTCTCCGATAAATGTTTCAGCTACATTGACACCAAAATTCTTTACCATCTCATACCACACCTATATTCATTTTATAATTTTATTGTGTTGTATTAGGTTTTAATCATTTTTTTTGTATTTTCTATAGCAGGTTTAACAGGTTGTTATGTGATAACATATAGCAACAATTCTTTTTCATATGGAAATTTTTTTAAAAAGCATTTCCACATGAAACAGGAATTTGTGTTTTACTGCAGTCAGTCTGAATTACTGAACTGAGATGATGATGGTAAATCATCCTGAATGTTTCTGTGTCATTTGTGTCAAATCATTATATTCCATTTTTGTTCAGTGGAAATACCCAAAAATCTACCTGGGAACCCACTGAAGATGTGCCTTTCACTACTTAGACATACTTGCACAAACACTCACACATAAACAGAGTTAAAGAAAAAAATATTTGCTTGCTGTTTTCAGATGCAAATTGCCCTTATTTACTTTTCTGAACAGAAATTGAATGTTATGCTTGATCAGTATCTGACTTCTCAGGGAAACTGGCTCAAATTTGGATATAAAAATGTAACATCAGTTTGTTATTTGCCAAATAAGGCAAAGAAGATTTTTTTTCCCATGTCCCAACCCATTAGTCAAGGGAATAAACAAACATGGAGACAAGTAGACAAAACACAGGGAGATCAAACAAACAGAAGACGCTGAAGATGAGACAAAGACAGACTGGACATGAGAAAGAGATCAGATATAAAAAGAAACGAACTGAAAACCTGAAACATAAGCATGCAAAACTCGAAGTCCCTTAGAAACTAAACATACGTATCTCATAGTTCCATTAATGAATAACGTCAAACAAACCTTAAACCCTGGGTCAAAGATCCAGGACCATAACAAGCATACCAGGCATTTTCCAGGTGGGCTGATGCACTTGTGGGCTGATGGGTCAATAATTTTTTCTCTGCGTTGATGTAATTATACAGGCTACAGCTGTCATTAAGGGCTGCTGTCCATTATTTTCATGAGCAAATGCAATACCCAATCAAATATCCTAATGCAACCAGTCCCTTCCATGTGCATTCATGCACTGTGCTGAACACAGTTTAGTGTGGTAGGAGTAGAGAATAAAGATGGGTAAAAAAAAGCGAAAAAGTGGAGCTGAAAAGCTAAGAAAGAAAGAGAAAAAAATAGAAATAAATGCATCAAAAGGTGTCAAATTAACCAACATGCTAGCTATCGTGACTACAGCAGCTGCTGCACCATTAACAGCTGTGTCAGCAAACCTACGCAGTCACAGGAAGCTGTTATTGCTAGCATGGGCAACTACAAGTACAATGAAAGACAGTTTGGCATCTCTCCATTGGCAGTATGTAGATTTTTACATTAAAATTACTTTTATCTTTTATTTTAAAGTTACAGAGATATATACAGTTGTATAAAAGTTATATATGCTGTAAGGTGCAATATAAGCAGCAATTTAATCATATATATATACAGGGAGTGCAGAATTATTAGGCAAGTTGTATTTTTGAGGAATGATTTTATTATTGAACAACAACCATGTTCTCAATGAACCCAAAAAACTCGTTAATATCAAAGCTGAATGTTTTTGGAAGTAGTTTTTCGTTTGTTTTTAGTTTTAGCTATTTTAGGGGGATATCTGTGTGTGCAGGTGACTATTACTGTGCATAATTATTAGGCAACTTAACAAAAAACAAATATATACCCATTTCAATTATTTATTTTTACCAGTGACACCAATATAACATCTCCACATTCACAAATATACATTTCTGACATTCAAAAACAAATAAAACAAATCAGCAACCAATATAGCCACCTTTCTTTGCAAGGACACTCAAAAGCCTGCCATCCATGGATTCTGTCAGTGTTTTGATCTGTTCACCATCAACATTGCGTGCAGCAGCATCCACAGCCTCCCAGACACTGTTCAGAGAGGTGTACTGTTTTCCCTCCTTGTAAATCTCACATTTGATGATGGACCACAGGTTCTCAATGGGGTTCAGATCAGGTGAACAAGGTGGCCATGTCATTAGTTTTTCTTCTTTTATACCCTTTCTTGCCAGCCACGCTGTGGAGTACTTGGATGCGTGTGATGGAGCATTGTCCTGCATGAAAATCATGTTTTTCTTGAAGGATGCAGACTTCTTCCTGTACCACTGCTTGAAGAAGGTGTCTTCCAGAAACTGGCAGTAGGACTGGGAGTTGAGCTTGACTCCATCCTCAACCCGAAAAGGCCCCACAAGCTCATCTTTGATGATACCAGCCCAAACCAGTGCTCCACCTCCACCTTGCTGGCGTCTGAGTCGGACTGGAGCTCTCTGCCCTTTACCAATCCATTTGGCCCATCAAGACTCACTCTCATTTCATCAGTCCATAAAACCTTAGAAAAATCAGTCTTGAGATATTTCTTGGCCCAGTCTTGACGTTTCAGCTTGTGTGTCTTGTTCAGTGGTGGTCGTCTTTCAGCCTTTCTTACCTTGGCCATGTCTCTGAGTATTGCACACCTTGTGCTTTTGGGCACTCCAGTGATGTTGCAGCGCTGAAATATGGCCAAACTGGTGGCAAGTGGCATCTTGGCAGCTGCACGCTTGACTTTTCTCAGTTCATGGGCAGTTATTTTGCGCCTTGGTTTTTCCACACGCTTCTTGCCACCCTGTTGACTATTTTGAATGAAACGCTTGATTGTTCGATGATCACGCTTCAGAAGCTTTGCAATTTTGAGACTACTGCATCCCTCTGCAAGATATCACACTATTTTTGATTTTTCTGAGCCTGTCAAGTCCTTCTTTTGACCCATTTTGCCAAAGGAAAGGACGTTGCCTAATAATTATGCACACCTGATATAGGGTGTTGATGTCATTAGACCACACCCCTTCTCATTACAGAGATGCACATCACCTAATATGCTTAATTGGTAGTAGGCTTTCGAGCCTATACAGCTTGGAGTAAGACAACATGCATGAAGAGGATGATGTGGACAAAATACTCATTTGCCTAATAATTCTGCACTCCCTGTAGAGGATATATATATATTAGGGGTGCAACAATACTCGTATTGGTATTCGATACAGTGCTTTCGGTTCGGTACGCATATGTACGCATATATCGAACAATACAAAATTTTAATTTTATTTTATTAACTTTTCTTCTGAAGATGCTGTCTGTGTTGAGAGCTCAGTGGATCTGTGTTCGACTTCTCCGCCTAGGCTGCACCGTTGAGCGCAGATCCACTGAGTGCAGCACAAGCTAGCGAGACAGAAGTTTAGCTCATTGCAACATGGCAACTGCCTCAACGCTACCCAAAATTGAACCTCCCCCACCCTCATTCAGATCTGGTGTTTGGAACTATTTTGGTTTTCATGTGAAGCAAGACCCTGATGGTAAGCGCGTCATGGACAAAAGTAAAACAGTATGTCGGATGTGCCACACAATACTCAATTACATTTGTGGGAACTAGTGCGTTAGCGCAGTTAGCTCATTAACGTGTTGACGCCGTCCAGCCCACACGCGGGGCAATCCGCGGTAACTCGTTAACGGAGATTTGCGGCGTTATGGCGTTAATGTCATTTTAACGAGATTAACGCTGACAGCACTAGTGGGAACACAACGAATATGACTGCACGTTAACGCCGACATCATCCTAGTGCAAAGACAAGTGGAAGCAGACAAAAACAACAAGCACGCATGCAACAAGCTTTACCCGAGTCATTTAGACAGCCGTTAGCTTATGATTCTCCTTATGGGGACCTGATATGTTTAATATGCTGCTGAAAGTATACCCCAGAAGAAGCGTATAGTATAGCTTTTATTTTGCAAAGAGCCATTTCTCTGTAATAGACTCTATTTTCCAAAGATGAGTGATTTCTCGATCAGATAGATTTATTATTTTATCCCTTTGTTGTTTCAGCAACATTAAATTTAAAAACTGTACTTTTGAATTAATATATATATATATTTACAATTTTAATAAATGACAAATTAAAAAGGCATGAACATTTTTTTGTATCGAAAAAATATCGAACCGTGACACCAAAGTATCGAACCGAACCGAACCGAACCGAACCGTGAATTTTGTGTATCGTTGCACCCCTAATATATACAGTATATGTATATATGTATGTATGTATATATATATATATATATATGTGACTGGTCTGTTAGTTCAAAGTAGCCCTGTACCACTCGAACAGTTTCACTGCACCTCTCTCAGAGTGCTAGCTTCTATCTCTGCTCTGTGATGCAGGAAGTACCCATGCGTGGGTGTCTTTCTCACAGATGAGTTGTGCCTGGTTCCAGTTGAGCGCTCGTAAGTGGGTTACTGCCTCAGCCTGTGCTGATGTAGGCATTCATTAATTTGGAAGTGAATCATGTTTATCCTTATTTCCTTGATGGTAATTCTTCTTCTGTTAATGTTTAACCATCACTCCAGCTGTTTACTGATGTAAGTAAGAAATTAAATGTTTTTATTTTTTTAATAAAGTACAAAATATTCAACCTATTTTTCAATTAAAAATTAAAAGTAATTACAAAATTGTAATGTTTGCTTTAACATGTCTGCAATTTTTAATTTAATTACATTTACAATAAAGATTCAAGGCATATTACAGATGC